TGCTGACCGAAATAGCTTGTATCGAGTGTTCATTTGTATGCAATGTAAAATCATATTAGTGTGGGTGGCAATGGCTGACAGATAGTTTTGGGACATGGTCAATATGGGACACATAATCACAGGCATGTCCCAATTAAACATACCCCCCCCCCCCCCCCCCGGAATAAACATGCACCCCGGACAAATCTTCAAAATCTAATAAACATACCCCCGGAAATAAACATACCCCCTGGAAAATTTCCAAAATGGCCAGTAAATTGTTCCCTTGCTTCTAAAATGTGCTCTGGTGTATATGCAAACTTTTCACTGTCTCTTGTGATTAGGAATTCAAATGGGCAACAAATGATGTATTTCTAGTAATGGGCTAAGGATTGCTGTTAAGACAAAAAGTTTACTATAACTGTCGTGTCTACAAAGAAACGGTCAACATCGCTGACACATTACACCGCTAGCAAGTTGTATTGCTAATAAAATACTACTACATGTACCACTTGTAGTTCAATAGCTCTATTATCTGCGGGTATCCAAACTGATAAATTTGATCAGTTGCAAGAACAATACTTTTCTTGGTTTTTCCCGAGGGAGAATGACCCTGTCGGAACATCAACTCTGTTGTTTTGCGTGCACGTTTGAGCTTTATAAACGTCTTTACATCTAAGATTGTACTTTTTTTGCCTTCCAAAAAAAGGCATAGAATTCTTTTTTACTCTGCTCGATTTAGAAAATTAAATAAACGTATCGTCCCAAATAAAAACGTACTGGGTGGAATTTTTTAAGAAAAAAAACACGTACCGGTACGTTTATTTGGGACATAACGTAGTTGTCAGAGTATAAACCCCTCTGGGGAAATGGCAAATTGACGAAAAATTGGGGGGGGGGGGGCTTATAAACAGATAAAAGTTAAAATTTCGTGTGTACGATACTGGAGTGTCTTCATCGACTAGCATCGTCCAAATTAACTTGAGGAATGGCAGTTACGCCCCAGGGTCACTAATCACTCTTGTGTGCGTTTACTAAGTGGAACAGCATTCAACCCTGCGTTTCATGTGAATATTGGTCTGTACGTTTTGGGGTAACACAACTGCATTGCGTAGCAGCAAATGATTACGATTCCGCAATCCTGTCGTGCTGCGTTTCACAATTGTTGATTATTACTCAGTAGTGATTATAACAACGTGCAAAAAAATAAATTCGGTCGCATATAAACGCTCGATGCTGTCGGGTATCCGCCATGTTCTTTCTCTTGCATGAGTTGACCTAATAGGTCAAATCGCTAATTAACCAATCAAAATGCTGGCTGATGCCAACGTGTTCAAATTACCATAGCTCATTTAAATATGTTAATGTTATTGAACAAAACGTGAAAGAGATTTGCCGATGTTGTACGATCTTTTGGCTTGGATTTTGATGGAAAAACGGCATGATTTTTTGTTTTCAAATAAAAAAATAGTTGTTTTCAAAAGATAAACTGAGCATTAGAAGAATAATTTAACATTGTCTAAACGAAGCTTGCCCATTAACACTAGTCACAATAAACACGCTCTTGAATAAAAACTTAAATAGACTATTTTAGGCGTCCGAACAATGACGCCAAAATATTTAAAAAACAACTTTAAAAACTGCAGAAAAATCGCCCTGGGTTTTTTTTTTTTATTATAATCAGATAAATGACTAAATGCTATAAATTTGGAGGGGGGGGCTTATACTCGAGCAGGGGTTTATACTCGAACAACTACGGTAAGAGTAGGCCCTGAAGATAGCGTCATCATGCTGTATCCCATTAATGAACGAAATTTACATTAAAATTTTATGCTTAAAAATAATTATTTATGCTAGAGAATACAGTACTGGAAACTGTCAAGTACACAATGTAGTAAAATCAGTAAGAAAAAGATACTATGGACCCTATTCTGCCGTAAATTCGCCCATCCGAAAATTGCTTATTTGGGATTCAAAATTTCGAAAAATAATCATCAAAAAATTTGTTGGGACTTCTATTTTCATTGAAAAATCCAACTACGCAGACTTTCAACGCCGTCAGTTGGGCCACTCAGGACGAAAGAAAGTATTGCAGAAACTAATCTAAAATTTAATACATTTTTTTTCTTGCTGAATTAAAAAGTAGACCGCTTGAAATTTCATTACAATGTCACCCAGTGTCATTTTTCAAATACATTTTATTTTATTTTAATGATAACGAAAGTATATTCTAAACACAACTGCATTGCGTAGTAGCAAACGATCACAGTTGCGCAATCCGGTCATGCTGCGTTTCAAAATTGGTGATTATTACTCAGTAGTGATTATAATACAGCGCAAAAAATAAATTTGTTGAATTGTTATGAAATGCAAATAAAATGCAACCTAGTTTCATCGTAAGCAAATGATTCCGGTCGCATATAAACGCTCGATGCTGTAGGGTATCCGCCATGTTTTTTTTGCATAAATTGAGATACCGTAATAGGTCAAATCGCTAATTAACCAATCAAAATGCTGGATGATGCCAACGTGTTTACCTACTGCAAAAGCCACTGATCGCAAAGCTACTAGTATCTTTCACAAAATGAAGCTGCATACCCGGTAACTATTTTTAGGTCTATTGATCAAATCTAGAGACTGTTATCTCTATTTGATCCAAAATAAACTACCGGTGAAAATGTGAGATGTTGCACCAAATTTCGCAGGAAAGTAGCTCAATGTATTAGAAAAGTAGCATTGACGCTGCAGGTCGGCGTCTTCTACACCGATCTGACGCATATCGCGCAAGGTGTGCCGGGAGTTTGTTCGAAATTTCGAACGTTTCGAAGTCAGTTGTCGGTTGGCACGTATTTTACAGAAATATTAAATCGTGCCATGGGCCTGTTTACTAAATAATGATAAATGAAACTCAGAAAACTTGTAAGAACAAACTGGGCCCAAATTGCGCAAATTTGCAATAAGTTTACGCTACTAGTGTCTGGTTCGGAAGGCGTTCCATGCGTGATTTTATCGCGTTAAAGGATGTTCTATTTTCGAACTAGTTGAAACCGGAAATTACGCAAGTACTTTCGAACTTCAAAAACAAATTTGATTATCGTTATTATGTGTTAGTTTCTGTTGTTTCGAAGATTGGATTATTAATGATATTAATATTTCGCTCACTGAACAATATTTCACTAAAATACGTGATTAAAAAGTAACTTAAATTGGAAAAAATATTATCAAGTTCCGTGTATAAACACTAATGTAAAGAGGCGGCGGAGTGCTTTTTTAGCCAAAATCGGCTAGTAAGGCGTCATATGACACAGATCTGTGCTGGGACAGCGCTTCCTGTGACGACACAACGGAAAAGTAGGTTAAATAAAATGTTGTATGCTTCGTCTTTTTTCAGCAATATGGATACTATTGTGAAAATTCAAGGTGGCACCCATGAGGCTTGGTTCTTTTTACTTTCTGTTCAAGTAGAATTAGAAGCTAGACCCGCCATAGTTAACGTTGTCAAAGCGCAGCAGGTGGGTATTTTTTGTCTGAACTTCGAGTCCTTTCTCTGACTCTCCTTTCTTTCTTTCTTTCTTTCTTTCTTTCTTTCTTTCTTTCTTTCTTTCTTTCTTTCTTTCTTCTTTCTTTCTTTCTTTCTTTCTTTCTTTCTTTCTTGTTATTTGAAGACTGTACAGTAACATTTGTGTTTTAGATTAGTCAAAAATGGGTGACTAGCAGCCATTTTTATTGCTAACAAAATGTTCTAGTTATATTTCTTTAACCTTTTCACCACCAGACTTTCTCGCCAAAGTTTCTCTGTACTTTTTTGTGATATTTCTGGGGAAAAAAACCCCTAATTTTGGATGAAATTTGAGTCAATTTTTAGTTTTTACTCAAAAAATGTAGCTATTTTTGTCCCAATCTTCTGAAGGATATTACAGACTATAAATGGGACTATTTTGTGAATTTGTGATAAAAAGAGGGAACTGGTGGTGAAAAGGTTAATGTTACGCATGTCTTTTCAAGCATGATGTATGTCTACAGTACCATGGTATTTTGCTTCTTTCACAGAGCATGGAAACTTAATTTAAATTGAAACTCAGTTGTACATTAGGCTTTTTCCAAGAGTATTAATGACATTGTTGTTTATTTGCATAGCAGTTCATATAAAAACAATTAGTTAACATTTTATTGTCATGCAAATTATTCAGTTTACAATGAATGCTGTTTGGATGAATGGTATGTCCTGTTTATATAACAAACACCGGAATTAACTGACAATCAAATTTATTGACAATTTATGACAAATCAATGTTTTTTAATAATAACCACTGTTTATCAGAAGGATGTGAATAATGAACAAGTTTAATTATTATTTTAAAATATAGACTATATAATTATATTTCCTGAAAGAAATTAGTCGTGATATTGATGAGGGCACCACAAACGGTAATTATTGATTGTGATCAGTTTATCGAATTTTGAATTCAACTTTGTGAATAAGGAAACATGTTATGAAGCAATGCATTTCATGTATACATGGGTTGTAAATTGCCTCTTAGGCTGTCACTATGGCAACAGGTGATATTTATATGATTGTGTTTATTGACACAGTATTGATATAACTGTATTGACGATTAAAATACCAAAATCTGGTAATGCTTGCAAAATAGTCTACTTATGTTTTCAATCCATTGATGGTAGTTCTATTTTAGTTTCTACCCGACCACAAATAAATTTAAGGTGGTACAAACAGAATTGGATATTTCAAATTATTTTCTTGATCATTTCCAATTTTGCAAGTCAATATACCTCTAAAATTGCAAGTTTGAATTCATGGCGTAAAAAGACAATGTTTCCATTATATCTTTGTTCCTATGATCAAAGTATAAGATTGTTTCAATCTTGGTTTTGAGCTAATATGTGATAGCTAATATTTTTTTAACCGCGATCTTTACCTCTTGATCTCATTTTGTTTCTTCGTAGGGTGTTAAAGACAGAGACGTTGTAAGTGTAATAGAATCGTTAAACGTAATGACATTATGTCTTCGGCAAATGAAAATTGTCATGACAAGAATGCCAGGTGAGTGTATATCTCTCAGTATCAACAACTTTGTGACATTTTTGGGACTATTTTATTGCATGCGTCAGAATACATACTTTTGTAATGGTGTTGTACGTCACCTGATCACCTGAGTGTATTGATATGTAAAAAGTAGTGCCGTTGGGGTAACTGAAAATGGCAGAATAAACAAGAAGTTAAACATGAAAGCTCTCTGGGTTCTTTGATGTTTTGTGTGTTCCTGAGTCAACACATCACAAACTTGTTAAATTTAAATTCTGTTTAGTGATTGGTTAACCTGGTGTTCCATTTAATACATATGCAAATGTTGAGACGCACACTCGCTCAGTATTTGCACACCATTAAAAGAGAAATTAATTAGAAGAAAACAAAAAAG